GGTGGCATGCCAGGGGAAAGGGAACATGTTGAGGGACAGTTCCCATGTGATCACAGGCAACTGAGGAGCTGCTTGGGAAGCAAATGCAGGGCAGGGGCAAAGCTGGCTCCCTCCCCTGTCCTTGCAGGGGGACAGGGAGGCAAGGGCAGTGGGAAGGGGACTGTCATAGTATTCCTCTGCAGTCATATTTATCTTGCAGCTAAAATGGGCCCTGAGTTTGGGAATTGGAAGAGTTCCCTTCATCATTCAAAGTAGCACCTCCTTCTGCAGGTCACGGTGACTGGGAGATTAATTTCCCACCAGCACCAACCAGCTGCATCTGTAGACACAGGGTTGTCATTTCCCGCCCACCTGCTAATGAACCTGAGGCTGAGCTGTTATCGCCTGCTGCTGCTTCAGGTGCAGGGAGGGGCATCTTCAAGATGACCCCAAGAGCTGGCACCCAGGCAGCAGCAGGTTCTGTGCACTGTGCAAGGCGAGCAGGCGTGCACACATACCTTAGTTTTGCAGTCTGGGCACCTGCAGCCTTGCTGTGACCGCTCTGTAATAGCACATCTTTAAATTGGGGCATGGCCAGAGTGTCCCAAAGCCTTGAGGTACCTTGGGTCAGAAGACAGTGCACAGCCCCAGTGGACTCAGCCCACTGTTCACAGTGTTCGGAGACCAATACTTCTACCCTAGTCCCTGCCCTTGGCTCTGAAGGTGAGAGGAAGAGCATGATCTTTGGCTCCTGAGTGACAGGATGGTTGGTGTATTGTGTCACACTGGACGAATGGTGGCCAAAAGCTCCATTTCATGGCCAGTTCTAGGTGGGTGACGTCACTGGATGGAGTGCCATGTTGAAAAGGAGACTGAGGCTGCCTTCTGGACCAGAAAGGAAAGAGGACTGTGGTTAATCAGTAATGTCTGCCACTGGCATAGACAGGAAATGGTGGCAGGTACACTATCCATTCAGTAGCCAAAGACTAGACACCCCTAAATTGAGACCGAAAATTAAAGCTGATCCCTTTTGCCTGGGGGAAAGAGATAGAAGGGAGCTTCACCTTGCATCTGCAAGTTTTGAAGAAAAATGGAAAACACGTGTTTACAGTAGCTGACCGCCACTGGAGTAAAAGTGAGACGTTGGCACTGCATCTAAAACTCAAACTGCCACAATCAGCCCAAAGATTGAGAAGAAACTGGATTCCAGCCTAATGGGGAAACAGACACAGAGCCAGCTAAGTCCACCATGGCTCACTCTGTCATCCAATAACTGTGTAATGAGCACCTATCATTGCCCAGCACTTGACTGAGTGCTGTGGATCCAGTGAACGAGTCGGGGCAGATGGATGTCTGTCTTCAAGCAGGTGACAATCTAGTAAGGGGAGCAGGGAGCCTAGACATAACAGCTTAATAAACAAGTGAACAAATGAGTCGGCAAGTGTTTGATGATTGTAAGAGGGGCTGTTTGAAGAAACGGGAGGTGAGATGACACAAAGTGGGTGAGGTCAAGCAGGGAAGTCTCCATCAGCTTTGTGTTACTTCGATGAAATAACTGAAGCTATTGACTTTTTTTTTGGTGGTACCATGGTTTGAACTCAGAGCCTTGCACTTGTTAGCCAAGTACCACTTAGATCGTGGCCCCATTCTTTTTTGCTTTACTTTATTTTTCAGATAGGGTCTTATGGTTTTGCCTGGGCTGGCCTCAGACTGCTATCCTCCTACCTAAACCTCCTGCATAGCTGTGATTACAGATGTGAGCTACCATGCTCAGTCTGGCAATTAACTTTCTAAAGAGAAAAGTTTTATTTAGCTCAGGCATAGGAAGGCTTGGTGAGGTCTACCCCTACTGCCTGGCATGGATCACAATGGTGAGGAATGTGTGTTGGAACAAAATGCTCACATCTCCCAGCCAGGTGTAGTAACTCAAGTCTGTAACCCTAGCTACTTGGGAGGCAGAGATCCAGAGGTTCGTGGTTCAAGGCAAGCCCAGGCAAAAGTTTGTGAGACCCCCCCATCTCAACCAATGGCTAGATGCAATGACATCCGTCTGTCATCTGGGCAACAAATGGAAGCACAAATAGAAGGATTGTGATCCAGGCTGGCCTGGGCATAAAATAAGACTGTATCTCAAAAATCACCAATGCTAAAAGGGCTGTGGGTGTGGTTAAAATGGTAGCGTGTCTGCTTAGTAAGCGTAAGGCTCTGAGTTCAACCCCCAGTAACATCAACCAAAAAATGCTCACATCTCCAATCAGAGCCAAAAGCGAGAGAACCCACAGTCCCTCTGGAGGACAGGCCCCCAGTGATCTAAGAACCTCCGACAAAGCCCCGCCTTCCAAAGGTTCCACTGCCTCCCCATAGCTCCAGCCTGGGGACCAAGCCTTACCTTTGGGGGACACTGAACATAGCAATCTCTGGGAAGTGACTTTTAAGGAAAAGCTAAAGAATAAGAGGCAGCCATGCAGCAGGTTCTTTGGGGAGGCTATTGTGATAATACTGCTATGAATATTAATGTACACATTTTTGAATGGATAGGTTTTCATTTTCCTTGGTAAACACCTAGGAAGGGAGTTGCTGGGTCATCCGTATTATGTTTATCCATTTGAGAAGAGCAGACTGTTCACAAACAGCTGAACCATGTTACTTGCCACCAGCAGTTTATAAGTGTTCTAATTTTCCACATCCTCACCAACACTTAGCATTATCTGTCATTTTTTTTATAGACATCCTAGTGAGTGTGAGATGGCATCTCACTGTGGCTTAGATTTGCATTTCCTGGGCGACTGAAGATGTTGAATACATTTTCATGTGCTTGTTATCCAGTTGTATCTTTGGAGAAATGTTTTCAGATCTCTTGCCAATTTTTTTTTAACGAACTTATCTTTTTATGATAACTCTGTTTTACATCTTCTAGGTCCAAGGACCTTCTGAGATAGAAGTCCAGTGTTTTCTCCCAGATGATAGGTTATCTTTTCACTTTCATGACGGTTCCTTTTGATGCATAAAAGTTTTTTGGGTTTTTTGTTTGTTTGTTTGTTTGTTTGGGGGTTTGTGTGTGTGTGTGTGTTTGGTTTTGTTTTGTTTTGTTGCAGTACTGGGGCTTGAACTCAGGGCTTACACCTTGAGCCACTCCATCAGCTCTTTTTGTGATGGGCTTATTTGAGATAAAGTCTCTTGAACTATTTGCCCAGGCTGGCTTCAAACGGCCTGAGTAGCTAGCATTGCACATGTGAGCCACCAGCACCCAGCAAATGGAAAATACAGTAATATACAATCATTCTTTTTTTTTTTTTTTGCTGTACTGAGATTTGAACTTAGGGCCTCATGCTTTCTAGGCAGGTCCTCTACCACTTGAGCCACTCCATCAGCACTGACACACAAAAGTTTTTAATCTTTATGCTTACCTTTCATTTCTTGTGCCTGTGTTGTTGTGCCTAAGAACGATTTGCCAATCCAAGATCATAAAGTCATGGTTTGCCAGATTCAACCAACTAGCATTTTCTTGGGAATTTTTGCTTCTGTATTTATAAGAAATGTAGGTGTGTGGCTTTCTTATAATGTCTTTGTATGGTTTTGGTATCAGAGCACCAAAAATCTTATGGAATGAGTTCGTAAGTATTCTCACCTCTATTATTTTGTAGAAAAGTGAAAATTGATATTATTTCAGTTTTTGGTTTTTTAACTGTGGTAGAGTATGTATAACATAGAATTTACTATTTTAACCATTTTAAGTGTACAGATGAGTGACATTAAATGTGTTCACCATCCATCTCCAGAGCGTTTTTACATCATCCCAAAGCAAAACCCTGTGCTACTAAAGTTACTTAGTTTTAGTGTTCACTAGGATTCCCCAGTGAAGCTAGACAATAAAGGCACATGATCAAGTCAACAGGGGCTCAGACATGGCTCCCACACAGAGCAGGACCCAGGAATGAGCCAACCTCTGCCCCACTCCCAACGCTTCCCTGCCCTGGCGTCCAATGAGTGTCTGAAGCCGCTCCCTGCTTCCGTGGACACTGGGCTGGTGGCCTCAGGCAGGGACTGCAGGAAAGTCAGCACTGGACTCTGACTGCACCAGCTGCAGAGTAACTGGGTGGCCACGGCCAGTCTTTCAGCAGCACTGAGCCTCAGTCCACACACCCGCAAAGAAAGCAAGCCACACGCACACAAATGTGCACACACTGCTGAGCTGGAGGAGTTCAGCGACACTCCAAGGCACTCACTAGCGAGGTGCTGGCTGTCCCTAGCAATGTACCAGATACCTGAGGCTGCTCCTGGCTGATTCTAATCCCTGTCTGGGACCCCAGTCCCTTTCCTGCACTGTCCTTTTGCTGCTCCACACACCCCTTTTTGAATGTCTCCTTCACTCTCCATCCCTTTGCCCTGCCCAGAACACTTCCCTGGGCTAACCTGTTCTCCCCTCCACGATCACCACAGCATCACCTCCTCTGAGAAGCTATGAACTGAGCATTACTGTGTGGGTTGCAGCCTACAGTTTCAGGTCTGCCTAAGGCCAGCAGGGTTGTTCCTTATACCCTACCCACCACACACACACACACACACACACACACACACACTCCCCGTGTATCTCCTGAGCCTTTCCAAGACCTTGGTAAAGTCATGGTGACTTTTCAACCTGACATCTTGGTGGAGTAGAGTACTTGTCTAATACTGAGGGTCTTGAATTCAAACCTCAGCTCTGCCACTAATTTGCTGTGCGACCTTGGACAATTCCATTGCCCTTATTTTTTCCCTTTTCCTGTCTGTGAGTTAGTTGAGCTCCTGAGGCAGAGGCATCAGGAGAGGAAGGGCAATAAGCCCCCGCCACAGAAGCTTCTGCAGAGCAGCAGGGCTCTGTTCCCCTCCTCCCAGCAGGAGCAACCAGGATGAAATCCATGGGCTTGGCCCCAGACCATCGTCATTTATTTAGGGTAAATGACTCAGGGATGCAGAGGGGAAGCAGGGAGGTGTGTAGCGGGCCTGGCCCCAGCTCAGTATTCTTTCTCTTATGTCCACAGTAGCACGATACAATCGCACCAGCTACTTCTACCCCACGTTCTCAGAGAGTTCGGAACACAGTCACCTGCTGGTGTCTCCAGTGCTGGTGGCCAGCGCCGTCATAGGTGTGGTCATCATCCTCTCCTGCATCACTATCATCGTGGGCAGCATCCGCAGGGACAGACAGGCCAGGCTCCAACGGCACCATCACCGCCACCACCGGCACCACCAACATCACCGGCACCGCCGGCGCCAACACCAGGAGTACGAACAGGGCTACGGTGAGCTGCCACCCACCTGGGCCTTGAAACGTCCATCCCATGGCGACTGACCCAGGAGGCTTTGAGGTGGTGGCTCTGCCCAGGGTCAGACAAGGGGAGTCTTGGTTGATCAGGAAGAGCTCACAGGTGCCTACCATAATATTCTCCAAGCCACGAGAGGCCCCATGCTCTACTGAGAGAAGAATTCAGAGAAAGGCTAAAGACCAGAGGGAGAGCATGTCACACTTCCCAGTCCCTGCTGCTGTTGGTCCAGGCTGAACCAACACTGGTCTCACTGTTGTCTGAATGCAGGAAGGAAGGGATGGATGGACGGATGGCTGGATGGACAGAGAGATGGAGAGAGAGGAATGGATGGGTGGGTAGATTAGTGAATGGATGGAGAAATGAATAGGTAAGTGGATGAGTGGATAGATGGACAGATCGCTGAGTGGGTGGATGGATAGATTAGTGAATGGATGGAGAAGTGAATGGGTAAGATGGGTGGTTAGATGGACAGATCGCTGAGTGGGTGGATGGATGGCGGGTGGATGGATAGATTAGTGAATGGATGGAGAAATGAATGGGTAAGTGGACGAGTGGATAGATGGACAGATCGCTGAGTGGGTGGATGGATAGATTAGTGAATGGATGGAGAAGTGAATGGGTAAGATGGGTGGTTAGATGGACAGATCGCTGAGTGGGTGGATGGATGGCGGGTAGATGGATAGATTAGTGAATGGATGGAGAAGTGAATGGATAAGATGGGTGGTTAGATGGGCAGATTTTTAGGTGGGTGGAGAGATGGATGAGTGTGTGGGATGAGGATGGACTGGTAGGAGGATGGGGGTAAGAGACTGAGTGGATGGATGGGTGGAGGGAATGAGTGGCTAAACAGCAGAAGTATAGGGATGTAGAGATAGATACAAGGGGGATGGGTGGATTGAGTGAGATAGATGAGGTAGATGGAGGCTGGGAAGATGGCTAGATAGGAATTTAGGTGATAGGTGGGATAATATGGGGTGAACAGGTACACAAAAAAATGGATGGATCAAGGGTGGGATGAATGAACAGTGAATACATCTATCCAGGAAGCCTGCAGGGCACAAATAGAGCTGATACCACGGTCTCTCAACTAGGACAGTTAAACAGAGTTGGTGGCTAATCTTTGGGGCCCCGGTCTCAGGAGTGCCCATTTGTCCAGAATGCATGAACTTTTTACAGAATGTAGCTGCCCAACTCCGTGTCAGGGACCCATTGTCTAAAAGCAGCAGGAAGGAAGCCAGTTGCGTTCAGTTCTCAGACAATTTTCACTGGCAGAAGGAAGCCAGACCTGTCCCCACAGGAGCCTGCAGGAGAGCCTGGCCACCCACCAGGTAAAGAAAAGAATGCAGGCCCTGGAGTGCAGAGCCCCAGGAGGGCCTTTCATGGCTGAAGATGAAGTGACGTGAGCCTCCTGGGAGCCAGAGCCAGGGCAGGACTGAGGGGCTTTTCCCACCCTTCCCACCCAGGGCAGCAGAAGACCACTGAATGGACTGACCTGGATCCAGTCAGGAGGCCTTTGAGGCCCTCATCCCTCTCCCAACACAGAACTAACTGGTTAGGAAGGAGCCATCTTCTAGCAATTAAGCCTAGCAAAGAGCAGAAGGCCTGGTTAAAGTGCTCACTGTGCACCTGGCACTTGTGCATCATCTCATTGTGCAAAATCCTCCCGATGGGCCTTCAAGGAGGCTAATTTTTATCGCCATCCCAACTTACAGATCAGAAATTGAAGTTGGAGCAGTTAAGAAATAGTCCTGGGGTCACCCAGCCAGCAAGTGTAGATGGGGGGAGTGGCACTAGGGAGAGGAAGCGAGAGCCACCCGTGGGCTCAGGGCAAGGTCTGATAGACCTCACATGTCAGGCGGACACGTGGCCACAGTAGAAGAAAGGCAGCTAGTTAATGGTCTGTCCTGTTAACCAATGACAAGGATGAGAAGAAAAGGTCAGAGTTGAGCATGATGGCACATGTCTATCATCCCAGAGTTGAGGAGACTGAAACAGGAGAATCACGAGTTCAAAGCCAGCCTGGGCTACATATTTAGACTCTGTGTCCAAAAGGAAAAAATAAGAAGAGTCAGCAGACATGAATGGAGCACATGCGACAGCTCAGCCCAGTTCCCCAAGTCTTCTCTGAAACCCAGGACTCTCCCATAAGACAAGCCAGGAGCCTTATAGGACCCCAGATGGCCTGTCCCACTTTTGCATCAACAGCCTGGTCCAGGGTACCCAGGGCATTTCCCCAGAGAGGACACCAGGTACCACCCGGATGATGCCGGGTAGACCCACGTGGCCCAGCTGCAACCTGCCCCTCACAGCCTTGCCCTTGCTTCCACACCAACCACTCCTCTCCAAGCAACTGCTCTTGCTCTTCCCAGCCTCTGCCCCCTGCTTCCCCACCAGGCCCGGCTCAACGTCCACCTTCTTCGGCCCCTCCTTAAGCCCCCCAGGCAGAGTGGAGTCAGAACCCCACTTCCCTGGGCTTCCTTGGCATTGCAGACATACCCCTGTCCAGGCCTCTCTTGTGGGGTAACTGTGACACATCCATGTGAGCAGGGCCTGCCTGGGGCACACCCACACCTGGGCCCAGCCCTGAGGAAGGTCTCCATGGGCAAGGAAAGGAACCACCTCACTTCATCCTCATAGAAAGATGAGGGGCCACTGTAACCCCAAGCTGAGAGGGCTGAGAGGTGGGCCTTAGTCTTGAGGAAAAAATGGAGACAAGCAAGCCCCTCCTTAGTCTGCGGTGGGCTCAGGACCAGTGCAGCATTAATAAGGTCCCAGCTGTGACCCCCCCAAGAACAGGCAGATGACTGGAAGTCACCAGCCATGCCAGATCTAGATCAGAACTTTTCAGAATTTTTTGTGGGTTCCTCTCTTCAGCCCTTACATGTCAGAGCCCCGCCCTTAGTCCTGGTCCTCTCTCTACACCCAGTCCCTGCCTCTCACAGCTGGCTCCAGTCCTCCCACAGCTCCCAAACTCTGTGCCCAAGGTCTCTAAGACATCACCCCATGAGGGCCTACAGGCACCTCAAACTTGGGGTGTCCAAAGTGGCCTCATCTTCCGTTTTTTACTATGACTCATTGCCTAACTTCTCTGTATCTCAGGTGAGCTATTAGAAAATGCTTACAAGGACTCCAGCACCTGGCCATGAGTCAGCATTCCATGAATGTTAACTGTTCTCATTGCCTCTTCTTCCCAGAAAACCTGCATTTGCCTAGTAAGCACCAAGCTCTGAGTTCAAATAGTGCTGGAGAGTGAGAGAGAGAGAGAGAAATATCTAGAGCATTAAGAGAGATCTGTGGCTATTTCCTCTGGTGTAGACGCCCATGGCTGCCAGCTCCCCTAGTTCCCTCTCCCACAGCCTATCAAGAGACAGAGTCCTGGACTGGACTAAGTAATGAACTGAGGCGTTTCTTAATTTTGGTAAAGAGAGGCAGAAGAAAGTGAGACTTCCAGAGTCCTGGACCATTTGTATCTGTGATGACCTGGAAGTCCAGAAAGGCAAAGGGAAAAATAAGGAATTTATGGTGCTTCTTTGTTGGTAAGGCTGGTTTCTCCCCAGCTGTTCCTCAGGAGCTCTGCCCAGCTGGAGCTGATCTCGGTCCCTTCAGGATTAAGGTCTGAGCTGGGCAAAGACCTCAGAGCGGCCTCAGTTTCTCCAGAATACTCAGCCTCTGCCTGTAAGAGAAGGCAGCCTGAGGCAGTGGGGAGCGGCAGAGTGGTTCAGCACTATGGCTCTTGGGCAGCCCACCCTGGCAGCCCTAGCTTTCCCAAGGATTCCTGAGCACCAGCCACAATCTCCTGCCCTGCAGGTGAAACCCTTCCTAAGACTCTTCGTCCCCAGCGACACGGCAGGCCTGGGACCCTAGCTGCAGAGTCCTGCAGCCCTGGATCAATGTCTGTCCTTACTCTGCTGTTCTGTGCTACCACCTTTCCTGAATTTCTTCCTGACACCCTTCCAAAACTTTTGTCTGGCACCTTGAAGGGAAACAAATCTCAGTCCCATGCCTTTTGTAAAAATTAACAGCATATATGATGGGGTTCATTTTTTCCTAGTAGAAAAGAAATAGGTGTCCATTGCAGAAAACCTTAAAAACACAGACATTGTAAAGGAGAATTAAGGGTCATGATCCTGCAGGGCAAAGCCACCAATAACGAATGTGTTCAGAATAGTTTCCTCTGAGGATTTTTTCTGTGTTCATATCTAGCCCTGGAATTAGACCTGCAAATATGGTTTTCTATCTAGATTTTTCCACCCCTGTTGAATCAAGAGTGGGAAAAAGAGGTTGGGGGGATGGGAAGAAGTCCTTGGAATTACACAGGCTGCAGGAGTTCCCTCTCCACATTTTACAACATTTTATGTGACCCTGAGCCTGGTGTTCTAGTCTACAGAGTGGGCTGGATGCCAAGCCCCACCCCCAGAGGGGAGGAGTCACCTGGGAGCCCTTGGGGTGGGGAGCCCTCATGACTCTGTAGCCCTCATAACTAGACAGGGAGGTGAAATTGATTAGAAAGTAGGGTGCCAACACAGCCAGCTGCCCTCTGACCCTACCACTTGCTGTGTGGCCTCAAGCAAGTCACTTGGCCTCTCTGAACCTCCATTGAGAAATAAGAGGATTGTGCTCCAGCAGCCTTTCCTCGGCAGTGTTGTTAGGTCTAAGAAAATGACATTCTGTGGTCAAATGCTAAATAAGTACACCTCCCTGTGTTTCTTAGTTGCACAACTTTTCAGAGCCTTTAGTATACTAATGTGTGGTTTAATTGGGGAGGGGAAACAGAGGAGAATGCAGTGTGTGAAGTCACCACATCATCACAGAAGCCCCCTTTTCCCCTGGGAGACCCAACGTGAATAAATAGCGTGTGGTTGAGGCAGGAAGGTTTGGGGAGGCCTGACTCTGGAGACCTCTGCAGCCCTCCTTCCTCAACATTCTCCTCCCCATTTTCCATGCATGTGGCCAGTTTCACAGCTCAAGGTTCCCAGTTTCCGCCTTACTCTTCTTTCTCATCTTGGTCCTTGGCTCAAGTACTTGAAACTCCCTCCCTTCTTCCCCTGGGCAGTCCTGGACAGGCCCAGCTCCAGCAGCAACCCCTCCAGGGAGCCTGCCTTAACCTACTGGCTTGACTGCCAAGCCTGTCTCTGCTCCCCCAGACCCCCACTAACTCCATCAAAGTTCAGGACACATCACCTGCCCCAGAACAGGCTGCCCTCCATCCTGGGGGCCTCATGGGTCAGGGCCACCTCTGCTTCCTCTCTGTGATCCATGACCAGAGTGATGGGGGCCCTCACATTCTAGGGCAGCTGTGCATGGTATGGGAATGGTTGGGTGGGGACATCAGAGCTTCGGTGGCCTCAGAGGTAGACCTGTGAGGAAGGTCTCTGGCCCTGGTCTGAGGCCTGGGCTGTTGGTCTGTTCCCTGCAGTGTCTGACGGGCACACATACAGCCACTCCAGCCGCAGGATGCACTACGCCTGCAGCCCCACTGAAGACTGGCCCCCGCCCCTGGATGTCAGCTCTGATGGAGATGTGGATGCAACAGTGCTCAGGGAACTGTACCCAGATTCTCCACCAGGGTAAGGAGGCCCCATAGGGATGGGGCTGTGAGAGGGTGGGGCTCTGGACACCCCATGGGAAATAGCAGCAGCTCCCCACATAGTGTAAATGCAGAAAGGCTTCAGTGGGTGTGGCCCTCCTGACCAGCCAGGTCCTCTTGAGTCTGGGTGTGACTCGGCAGATGTCATCAGGATACACTAATAAAAAGACAAGCTGGGCTCCTTCAGGCTGCTGGACAAGGGGCAGGATGCCTTCCAGTTTGGGGATGGTCCCATGACAGCTGTCCTGCAGAACTGGACTGCTTTGCAGGGGTTTCCCTGGGAGGTTAAGGCAGTGAAGTGTTAGATTATTCTAGTGGCCATGGGATCAATGTCCCCTTAGGGAGAAGAAGCTACAGAGTTTTTATTTGTAAGGCCAGGAACACGTCATCATCCCCGAGGCCAATTTACCTCAATGGCTGTCCATGCAGCCACAAAGATCCCAGACTTAGCCATCCTCTGTCACCTGGCAGGTCAATGGTGTGTGTGTGTGTGTGCATGCATTCATGTGTGTTCAGCCCTGCCTTCCCAATCATTTGCCCACCTTCCCTCCCCTACCCCAGCCCTGCCTCACCTGCCTTTCCATCCTTGTCCAGGCTCCAACCCCAATCTACCAATCTGCCTGGAGTGAAGTGGAGCCCTCAGCCTTCCCCCCACCTACCTGCACCTTGCCCAGGATGAATCCAACTCTTTGTTCGGACTCACAGGGAGCTCCACCTCCAAGATCCCCAGCCTTGCTTCCCATGCACCATGACAGTGATCAAAAGCAGCCCCTCTGGGCCTTGTCTTTTAGATGAGCCACATTGGCCTAGAGGAGTCCTTGGGGTCCAGTTCCTGGTCTCTGCAGCCCAGCTAGCCCTTCCCCCACACAGGCCAGAATAGTTCCCTGGGGGGATGGGAGGTACATACATCCTCCTGGACTGTACGGTTCCTGTCTAGCCCAAGCTATACCCTGAACATCAGCAGGAAAGCCAGTTTTACAAAAAAGGAAGTAGTTTATAGAACCAAAGGGAAAATTTATGGCCACTGCTCCTGGAGACCCCAAGGATAGTGGCAGTGGGAAGAGAGGATGGACAGGAAGCTTTCTGGACTCTAGGTCCTACTCTTGGGGTGGAGCATCGTGGCCCCAGCACCTTAGTATGAGACCCCAAATCCCAAACCACATCCACTGGGACAGGAGTCGTGTCTAACCTGCACTTAGGGTCACGGGGCCCTGTCCAGAGGGAATTCTTTTCTGGGAGCCTCTGAGTCCTCTCGTCCCCTAACTCACAGGCAGACACCCTCCCCATCAGTTAGCGAGGGAAGAGGAGTCAGAGCACCCCTCTCTTCCCTACCTGGAGACCCCCCAGGCCCTGGACAAATAGCCTCATCATCCCCTCCCTTTCTCCCCCCTCCCACCAGGGGCACTGGAGGAGCAGTGGGTGCCCTTTACCCTGCACCAGTGGACTCAGAGCTGCACCTCCTTCCTAAACCCAGAAGGCAGCTGTGTGGCAACTTCAGTGGCTCTGCCCAGCCCACCCCCAGGGTGCCCCTCTGGGCATCTTCCTAGATGGTGGCTGCTCTTGTTCTGACACATCTGAAACCACAAGATGGTCACGGACCTGCTCAGGGACTCATAGCACACAAGGGTGGAGTCAGGCCCAGAGCCCATGTTGCAGGAGTGCTGGGTGCCCTCCCGGGAGGTAATGAGGTCCCACTGGTCCCCAGCCAGAGCATCTGGTCACTGTGGATAGGGGAGAGACACCTACACCCACCTCTAAAGCCCTGGCCCCTCTTGTTTCACAGCTATGAGGAATGTGTGGGGCCAGGGGCCACTCAGCTGTATGTCCCCACGGATGCACCACCACCCTACTCTCTGACTGATTCCTGCCCCACACTGAATGGCGCTCTTGACTCAAGCAGTGGCCACAGCCACAGCGGACACCAGCCAGAGCAGAGGACCAGAGGCCAGAGTGGCCTCCGCACCATCTCCATGGACATGCTGCCCCCTTATGAGGCCGTTTGTGGAGCTGGGTCCCCATCGGATCTGCTGCCGCTGCCTGGACCAGAACCAAGGCCAAGGAACTCACAGGGCTCACCCATCCCACCCTGGTCCTCAGCCTCCAGCCCAGAGAGGGTCGTGTGAGTGACCCAATTCATGAAGTCCTGCTGGTCCCTCCAGGCTGAACCACATCTTCCTGGCACCTGTGGGCACACACAGATATGCACACACAACTTGTGCATATACGTATACATGGCTACACACATACACTGACATTCCCCATGCACACACAGACATAGATGCGTCCTACACATGTGTGCCCCCCCATCCACACAAAACCACCTGCCAAGGTTTCACTCAAATGAAGTGCTCCCAGCTTCCCATCTTGTCCTTCCAACCTGGTGGCTGTGCCTCTGTGGACAGTGCTGGGGACAGCGGAAGTAGGAAACCTGGCTTTCTCTTCCCTCTCTCAGGCTTCACCAGGCAGGCCATGCCCAAATTCTCATTCTCCAGAAACTGTTCAGCCAGCCCAGGTCAGCCTCCTGCCTCAACCCCTACCCCAGGGCTCGTCCCCCTGGGAGGCATAACAGGCCCAGTGAGGTCTTGCTGTGTGCTGTGCCTATCTCTCAACTCTAGGGCAGAAGAGCCACATCACCACCCTGCCACTTACAGTGTGGGGACACAGGTCTGGGGGGGCTCAGACATGACCTGGAGGCCCTCACAGCCCTCCCTAACTCAACACCCTCAGTCTGGTGGTGCTAGTGGGGTTATCTCAGAAGCCCACCCCAAGCTACAGGGATGGCAGAGTCCATAGGTATTCAGGGGTGGAGGTGGGTTACTGTTGTTTCCATGTTGGTCCATCACTGCCCCAAGACAGAGGGTTATCAAAGAAGGTGAGGCTACCACCTTTGTCCAAGTGACCTCACTGCAGTGCTGCCTGGGCACCGCTCCAAAGTGGATAAGGGCTGGTCACAGTTCATGCCCCACCAGCCATGTGACCTGAGCTCGAATGGACTGGAACCAAACCCCAGGACCTGGTGCTGTGTTCCTGGGTAGCAGCTCACAGCTGAGAACTGTGAGTCAACGCATTCTGGCCTTGCTCACCCCTTCCCTGGGTGTTTGCAGGGAGGGACAAAGAGGATCCAAGCTCCATTAAAAACCACATGCCACTATGAGAGGACTGGTGTCTCAGCCTTGCTCCCAGGGTTCTGCCACTCAAAGGGGTGTGCGGAGCCTGCCTGGTTATAAAAACAGGAAGATCTTGGCCTTCGAGTTCCAGCAGTCTCCATCAAAGGCTACAGGTATCAGAGGTGATCTGTGAAGACCCAGCCTGCTGAGGTGGCAGCCAAGCATCTTTGAGGAATGTTCTGGCCAGCATCACTCATGGCATGGAGCAAATCACCCCGCCTCCCTCCCTCCACCCATTGTCACCCATCCCTAAACAATAGGACCCTCCCACATAATTTGTCCTCTTCCCACATTTCAATTCCTCCAATGAAGGGCTAAGACAATTCAGTAATCCTTTTCTTAAGCAGAGGGGTAGCAAGGATGGCGAGAATGAATTTTATTTTCTGTAGAATCAGCATTTCTTCCGGTACAGAGCTGAAAGAGATCCAGCAAGAGATTCTGTAGCATCCTGCGTGAAGCATCCTGGAGCCCCAGATGCCACCTGGGGGAGGGACCTTGTTTACAAGCAGTTCTGCCCACCTTTGTGGTGTACTGCTTCCTAGGCAAAAATATCTGTCTGTTGTACTGTATAGCCTTTAAAATGCACCCCAGGGATGAGACTCTTAAGGAACGCACCCTGTACCTGGGACTCTAGAGAGTGCAGGGGGGAAGACAAAAACCCCTGCCTACTAGTTGGTGTTGGAAGGGTGGAGTCTAGGCTTTTCTTGTTCCTGTACTGGGGGCTGAATAAGCAACAATGTATCTTTTGTGTGTTCAAAATATATCAATAAAAATGTAACAAGATATAACTTTTTTAAAGAGTGAGTGAGGGCTTATGCCCTTTGTAAAATGAAAGGAACCCCCAAACAGAAGGGATCTGAAAATATTTCTGGGTCTGGCTGGCAGGCCCCCACCCCATACTTCTCAGAACTGAGTCACTGAAGCTGTATCAGTGATCACAGGAGTTCTTTTGTTTTGTTTGTTGATTTTTTAATTACAGGGTCTCCCTAACGTTGCCTGGGCTGGCCTGGAACTCATGATCCTCCTGCCTCTGCCTCTCAGGCTCTAGGATGAGCCACCACACCGGCCCTTTGTTTGTTTTTAGCCTCACTGAAGCATGGCATCATTTCTCTGAGACTTGGCTGATTTTGACATCACCACAATGGGTCATGAACCTGATTGCAAGAACATATGAGGCCGTGTTTCATTTTAATAGCAATTGGCTTTCAGCACCCAGTAGCTCATACTACCAGAAAAGAAAGGAATTGTAATTAGACTTAAATGTATTGCTTTCCCCTCACAGGAATCCTCCTGTTCTGGGCTCTCTGTAAGACCATAGTTTTAGACTTTGGTCTCTTGGCAGACAGAATTGGTTCCCTTTCTCTGTCACACTTGAGCCCACTAGCCTAGTCGTAGACCTCCAAGCAGCCAGACACTGGGGTGCTATCCTGAAGGGTAGGGCAATGGGGAAGACAACTGTGAGATAGCGCAGCACAAACTCCTTCCTTCTTGCTCCAGCCTAAATCCCCAGTCCCAGCTGGATGGCCTGAGCCCTGCTATCCAGAGCCTGATACCCACATTCTGAGTCCACACTGCCACCTGCCGACTCCCTGCTGCCATTACTCAGTGTGAAGGAGCCTGCCCTTGAAGAAGGAGGAAAGCTTCTCTCCCTCTGAAACCCACAGCCTGTGGACACCCATAGTTGTAAACAAACTTGCCATTCTGATCCCAGGCCTGTCTCTCACCTTTGGGATATCCTTTGAGGTTGAACATTCAAGCATCCCAGTTTCAGCATGAACTCCTGTCTCCCAGCCTACGTCTTTGGCCCAGCCTCCTCTCTACATACAAAATAGTCTTTGCTCTGTTCTAAACACCACCATGAATTGCTCAGGTGCTGCCTCTGTGTTCTGGGGCTCCTCCTCCTGGAAATGAAGGTATCAGCCTCGTGATGATGGTGTCCAGCTATGTGCAGACCTCTCATTCCAACACCCATTTCAAACACAGGGCCCCACAGGTCCTTGGAACAGATGGTCTCTTGACTATCCCTGTCTCTTCCATCTATGGCATTCCCTGTGCTGTGAGGGGTCCACATATGCTAACACATTCAGGGTCTTTTGCACATTCCTATAAGAGACTGACCTCCTCTCTCTGTTAGGGCCATGAGGGGTAAGGATGGAGGAGACTATCCCAAATACCTGTGCACAGCCTGGACTCGTCATCACGCCAAGGAGATGAGGTGAAGCCACATCACCAGGATGGTGGGAGCAGGAGGGGGCGGGACCAGATCCTAAGACAAGATATGGGTCTGAGGGTTTCGTTAGGGAGATGGTCCCACAAATGCCAAAGAGAATAGGGCAGGGAGAGGAGGAGGGGAAGGAAGCCTGGGAGGGCAATGTCAAGCAGGTTACCACTTGCTTCTCCCCATGCCCCTACTCTGTCCCACTAGCAATCTGAAACACAGGGCAGGTCATGCCTCAGAGTCAGATCCTAAGGGTGGTGGCGATGGAGCATCCACACAGCACTCAGCACAAGTTGTTTGGAGGCTGCCATCCAGAGAGTGTTATTCCCTGCCCTGTGCAGGACAAGCAGGCTCCTGGTCAAAAAAGGCCATCAGACAGGGGAGCTGCAGCTACTGGCAGACAAAGCCATCGCAGTGGGCAGCAGAAGCCACTGCTGAGTCTGCTTGCATGGGCACTGCAAGCTCCTTGGTCTAGATGGCCTCTGCCACACCCGAGCAACAGGCATTGCCCAAGAAGGAAAAAGGAACTGATACAAATTATGGCTGTCCACAGCCACCAAGTGGATGTGTGCATCCACTGGCATGCCAGCCAAGCCACACACACACAAACACACTCACACACAAGTCACACAAGTCATCACTTGGCTCGCACCATCTGTGGTTTTGTACACTTTTGCTCAGGCAGCTTCAGTCCCCACACTAGTGACCTCCCTTAGAGCCCACACACACAGGAGTCCCACATGCACACTTGGAAGCTGTGCTCTGCAATGCTGACAGTGCTCACAGTCCGCTGTCCCCGTCATATCCTCTTGCATGGCCAACAGGGTCTGGGCATAGCAGTGCAAGGACAGGGGCCTCGTCAGAAGAGGGGGTAAGTCTTTGGCTCCAGCTTTGCTTTGCTTGACTTTACATGGCAACTCCCCAACCCAGGGGAATTTTCTGGAGCCCAAGACCCACTGTCTAAGACAAGCTGGTGTCTGAGCCTGGGGCCTGGGCATACCTTTACCCCCAGGGTAGAAGCACAACTGTGCCTTGGGATGTCTGCAAGGAATCCCAAGACTGAGGTTCCCATGCACTGTTGTCCCAGCCTCAACTACACCACAACTGACCATCTTTGCCAGTGTGACTCCTGGGGACCTGGGACTGCCTGTCTTTCTTCTCCACAGTTGGTGGTGACTGGTCCACAACCTATGACTTGCACTATAGGATAGAATTGGAGAACATCTCTTGAAAGGGGGGCCCTCACCCCCTGATAGATCCTGAGCTCCATCACCCTCTCCTGCTATTCAACTGCAAGAGACAGAAACTCAATTTGAATCTTTTTCAGCAAGAAAAGACACTTACTGCTTCCTGTAGCTGAATGGTCAGAGTGCTAATTCTGACTTTAGGCATGGCTGGATCCAGGAAATTCAAGGATGTGAGCAGCTATATTGTCTCTCTGGGATCTGGGCTCTGCCACGTTGCCTTCGTTCTCTGATTGGAACAATGGCTGTGTAAATCCCAAGTCTATGTTGGTTGGTTCCTGATTCAAAACAAAGAAACCACCTACCCACTACCCCTCCCCCCAAAAAAAGATATCAAACCTCAGAGAAAACTAATCAGCCTGGACATGTACTCATCCCAGAGCCTCTGAATGGCTGTGACTAGGGTTAGAGTCTGATTGGCTGAGCCTTGTTCATGTGCCCATTCTGGGGAGGGCAAGGGAAGGAGGAACTAAATGTTCTCTCCTGGAATGGGT